AGAAGGACTAGGGGAGACATGACAGCAGTCTTCCAATATCTCAGGGGCTGCCACAAAGAAGAGGGAGTCAAGCTATTCTCCTACCGCCCATTCTTCAGGCGGTCGAACTAGATGACCTACAAGGTCCTTTCCGACTCTGTTATTCTCTTCTCTTCTCCCCTCTTGCAGTCTTCCTTTCATTTTTTGGCATTGCCAGCATCGGAATTAGCTGCCTGGTGGCTCTTTTTCTGTACCACATTGTCTTCGGGATCCAGTACCTGGGAATCCTGAATGGAGTGGCAGCCTTTGTCATCGTGGGCATTGGTAAGAGACGATCCCACTAAGTCACGAGCTCTTCTCCCTCCCCCAAAACTCTGCCCCTATCTATCCCCCTCCCTGTGCCATTTTTCAGGGGTGGACGACGTCTTCGTCTTCATCAACACCTATCGGCAAGCCACCCATCTGAAAGACCTCAACCTCAGGATGATCTACACCATCCAGACAGCTGGCAAAGCCACCTTCTTCACTTCTTTAACCACGGCGGCAGCCTACGCCGCCAATATTTTTTCCCAGGTGAGCAGCTAGAAGAACAATTCTAAATTTACCACTTTCTCTGAAGTAGTATTTCTTAAGCTCGTTGTGGCCCACCAGCAGAGCTGGCAGCAGATTCGGACAGTGAGAAGGTTGGAGAGGAAGATGGGCCAGTCCTGGAGTCTGGGGCAGGCTCTGATGAGGGCTCTGTGTCGGAGGCAGAAAGGGGGCCAGAGCCATCTGACAGTTATCAGCTGCCTTCAGAGTCAGACATCAGTGAGGCAGATGAACAACTGGAGCCTGTTTCCAGTGTGCACATGCACAGAGTTGCCAAGCTGGGGAATTCTGGGAATTGAAGTCCACCCATCTTAAATTTGCCACGCTTTGGAAACACTGTTTTAAAGTGAGATCATGACTCTCTTCCTTCTATAATCTGTCCTGTCTAGTTGTCAAACTAACAATATTTTCCTCTTTTACTCAAAAAACTATCCTTTTGTTGCATAAATTCATATCCAAAAAGCACATACAGATAGCTGATTCATTAACTTCTTTATATGCATAAGAATAGATGAATAAATGTAGAATACCAACAGGTGGTTCTTCCAAGTAAACACAAGGCAGGAGAGTTACAGGAGAGAAACACAAGCGGCTAGTTTCATTTCAGCAGACAGGCCCAGACAGACTGCTAGTTTACTTCTCATAGCAGCAAACTGCTCAAGTTTCTGTTTCAGTTCTCTGCACAGATTCGGATCTGTTTCAATTCTCTGCACAGACTCAGATCCATTGGCTGGCTTAGTTGCTATGCCTATTCATTGGCTGATCTTGTTCCCATGTCTCTCCCAGTCATGAATATTTTAACAAAAATCCATAAAGGGATCCAGGTTGATTTTTTTCAAAAAAAATCCAAGTAGTGTTCCCCCCCCCCCCTTCTTGGATCTCCAGGAGATAGTTACCTGTCTCCTGCCTTCTCCCCTGTCTTCTTTGTAGATCCCAGCTGTCCATGACTTTGGTCTTTTCATGTCCTTGATTGTTTCCTGTTGCTGGGTTGGAGTCCTTTTCACCATGCCAGCTGCTCTGGGGATTTGGTCTCTCTACTGGTCCTCGCTGGAAAACACCTGTCAGGCCAGGTAAGGCCAATTGAATCTATTTTAAATTAAAATAAATAAATCCGCTTTGTGAAGCCGGCCTGAAGTAGCAGCTGCGCCTCTCGAGCAAAAGAAATGGAGTATTGAAATTGATATTTTCACATGTGGTGGACATGCTCAGAAGCAAAGAAATATTGAACAAAGATAAAGAAAATAGCTAGAGGAAATTACTAAACAACAAGTAGATTTAAAACCGGAATTATTTTTATTGGCTATCTTAAGAGGAAATTATTGAATTAAAAGAACCTCAATATATCATGTTATATATAATAACAGTGGCCAGAATCATTTATGTGCAAAACTGGAAAAACGATAGCACTCCCTCCGATGGAATGGTGATAAAAGAAAAATGCTAGAACATGCGGAGATGGATAGGCTAATAATGGAAATAAAAGAAAGAGGAGAAATGGAATGCTAGTTGATTTGGGACACATGGTATAATTGACTAGAGAATAGAAGCAAAGAATAAGAAGGTAAAAGTAAATTAAGAGGCGACAAGAAATGTAATATATATATAATTACGCAACCACAATAATGGCATATTGTATGTACACAAAAGTAAAGGAAGAATATTGAAAATAACTTGTAGGTACTTATGAGTTATACCAGGGGTCGGCAAACTTAAACACTCAAAGAGCCATTTGGACCCGTTTCCCACAGAAAAGAAAACACCGGGAGCCACAAAGGTCCTAACCGGAAGCCCCCTGTTCAATTCTGGAGCTGACCGGAAGTTCAGTTCCCCCACCATAGAGTCTCCTCCTAGCTGACCGGAAGTTCAGTTCCCCCACCATAGAGTCTCCTCCTAGCTGACCGGAAGTTCAGTTCCTCCACCATAGAGTCTCCTCCTAGCACGGTGTACTTTTTCCTCTATCTGTCATAACCGGAAGCCCTATCAATTGTGGAGACAACTGGGAAACCCTCCCCTTGCCGTAGAGTCTTCTCCTGGCACACTGTGCTTCTCTCCCCCCCACCCCCATCGGAAGCTCCTCTCAAAATTGTGGTGCCGACTGGTGACGGAGCTGCAGCAGAGGGAGGAAAGAGCCACATGCGGCTCCAGAGCCGCAGTTTGCTGACCCCTGACTTATACCGATACCGGAGCGCTGTAAAGATGGAAATTATGATACAAAATGAAGAAAACTGTTTAATAAAAACTATTTAAAAAAAGAAAAGAAATTGATTTAGCTAGATTATCAGGGTGCACCCAAACGAATGTACTCAGATGCTCTTCTCTTTTAGAAGGCACTTTTCACCTACCCTTCCTTCAAAATGAATATAAACCAGGAGAAAAATGCAGGAAAAACAGTCCAGGTTAAAACCAGCCAGTGCTTCCCAATTTTTTCCCCTTACCCAAAACTGTATTTACTGTAAATGAGAGTCCTTATTTAAATGTTTCTGTTGTCTGAAATTGGCACAGGTAGTCCTCAATTTAACGACCACAATCGAGCCCAACATTTCTGGGGTTAAGTGAGAAATTTGTTGAGTGAGTTTGGCCCCGTTTTACAACTTTGCTTGTCACATTTGTTAAGTGAATCGCTGCAGTTGTTAAGTGAGTCACACAGTTGCTAAGTGAATCGGGCTGCCCCCTTGACTTTGCTCGTCAGACAGTCGCAAAAGGGGAATCACACGACCCCGGGATACCACGATCGTCATAACTATGAACCCGTGGCCAAACATCTGAATTTCTATCACGTGACCATGGAGATGCTGCAGAGATCGTAACTGTGGAAAACCATCATAGGTCCCATTTTTCCAGTGCCGTTGTAACTTTGAACAGTCGCTAAATGAACTGTTGTGTCGAGAACAACCTGTGAATAGTTTGTGTGTCGTTGGCTAAAGAAAAAAAAACTTTTATTACCTAGTTTGGAGTAACTTCCTCAAATTTGGCAAGCACCGTGTTCAACAACCTGGTGAATGAAGCCAGCAACTTGGGAGTGGGCTCCAGACAGACCCCCCCACCGTCTCTTTCTGGCCCCCTGCCCAATGCATTAGCAACAGTAATTGCTCAGACACCAGGTGCACCTGATTCTTGCCTGGTGTGTAGCTGTTTCGCAGCTCGGCTGGTCTGCCCCCTTCGCTCCGCCAAGAAAGCCGGGCACAGCTGCCTTCCCCGGAGAGAAAGCGCAGTGAGATTCATTTGGCCTCGCTTCCTCCCTGGTCTGCAGATGCAGTAAAAAATGCACAAAGGAAAGCGCTTTGCAGAGCTCGGATGGCCTGTTCGTCTCCTTGGCAGTGGCTGGCAGGTCAGGGCTGGGCCCTCTGCCTTACCTGGATGATGACATCCCCCTGCTGAATGTGGAAGAGGAGCCAGGTAAGTCACAGGTAGTGGGTAGCAAACACAGCTGCCCACACATAATCAATGCACACTTGGCCAGATATCTGTGTCTCCTTCCTAGAGATATTGGAAGAGTTTCAGTTCAATTGATCAAAATATAGCGGGAAGGGACCTTGGAGGTCTTCTAGCCCAACCCCCTGCTCAAGCAGGAGACCCTCTACCATTTCAGATACTTGGTTGTCTAGTCTCTTCTTAAAAACCTCCAGTGATGAAGCACCTACAACAGTGTTTCTCAACCTTGTCTCCTGCGAATGCTGGCTGGGGAATTCTGGGAGTTGAAGTCCAGACATCTTCAAGGTTGAGAAACACTGACCTACAACTTCTGGAGGCAAGCTGTTTGGTTGATTGTCCTCATAAGAAAGTTTCTCCTTAATTCCAGGTTGCTTCTCTCCTTGATTAATTTCCATCCATTGTCTTGCCTTCTGGTGCTTTGGAAAATAATTTGACACCCTCTTCTTTGTGGCAGCACCGCAAATACTGAAATACTGCTTTCATGTCGCCATCGTCCCCCAAATCCTTCTTTTCTCTAGATTGGCCATACCCAATTCCTGCAACTGTTCTTCGTATGTTTTAGTCTCCAGGCCTTTAATCATCTTAGTTTCTCTTCTCTGCACTTTTCCCAAAGTCTCAAAATATTTTTTGTACTGTGGTGACCAATATTGGATGCAGTATTCCAGGGGTGGCCTTACTAAGGATTTCTAAAGCGATGCTAATACTTCACATGATTTCGATTCTATGCCTCTGTTTATGCATCCAAGGATTGTATTAGCTTTTTTGGCTGCCACCGCACATGGCTGGCTCATGTTTTAAGTGATGGTTAATTAAGTTATTGTGTAATAACCTCTGCACCATAATTAATTGTGTAATAATAATTAAGTTATTGTGGAGTGCCCCGTGTTCCCCATTCATCCCTTTGCCCAAAAAGTTTCTCACCTGTCTTTGCAAAGTAAGGCTAGGTGGACTTTTGGTCTTGACTGAGGTGGTCCAATTGGTCTGGATCAGGTTGGAGTTTCAGAACCTTGGAGAGCATCACAATGGCTTTGAGATCAGAGCAATTCTAAATTCACCCCTTCTATGAAAAATGGAATTCAGGTCATTGTTGGCTCTGATGAACCCATACTAGTGACTGCATCCTTTGGAATAAACATTGATTTTTTAAAAATTGGACTACCATATTTTTTGAGTATAAGACGCACTTCCCCCGTTAAAGAGGGTGAAAATTTGGGTGCATCTTATACACTGAATGTAGCCCTGTCCACCTGCCAGCCCCCACCCTTTGGCCTCTGCTTCCCAGCAATTTGTCTCCTTGCAGCAAACAAACAGCCTGTTTCAGTTTCAGCACAGCCTGATTAGCACAAGCAGCTATTGGTCGGTTGGACTGGCCTCCCGACTATCAGCTGTTTCAGGCTGCAGGGATTGCCTATTGCCGCCTCTGCATGACCCATTTTCTGCCTCTGTACCCCATTTTTGGCCTCTGCACACTCCATTTTTGGCCTCTGCACACCCCATTTTCCACCTATTCTGATCTCTGCTGCCCAGAATGGGCAGAAAATGGGGTGCACAGAGGCCGAAAATGGGTTGTGCAGAGGCTGAAAAAGAGATGTGGAGGCAGAAAATGGGGCATGCAAAAGCTATGGCAATCCCTGAAGCCTGAAACAGCTGATTGTGGGGAGGCCCTACAATCAGCTGCTTGTGCTAATCAAGCTGAGCTGAAACTGAAATGGGCTGTTTTCTGTTTGCTGCAAGGAGGCAAATTGCTGGGAGGCAGATTTTTTTTTTCTTGTTTTCCTCCCCAAAAGCTAGGTGCGTCTTATACTTTGAAGCATCTTATACGCCGAAAAATATGGTACTTTGCTTAGTTCAGTACCTAAAGGGCTTTGGCCTGGTCTGTGGCCAGTGTTTGTATCATGTCCTTCAATGCATTCTTCCCTTCTGTTTTCTGGCCAGTTGCTCTAGAAATGGGGGACGTCCCTTTGGTATCTGTATTGCCTGAAAACCACCATCTCACTACCAACAATGACAGCCCGGGACACCTGATCACTCACCTCCAGAAGCTCCTCCAGTGCTGGGCGCTGTGGTCGGCAGTCAAAAACAAGTGGGTGATCGTTGGTAAGTCACCTGCACCTACGCACCTCCTTGATTTCAAAACAAGCTTATGGAGGCCTACCACAAGAGTATCATCTCACGCAGGGTCTCTGCCTGCCCCGTGTTTCTCCTTCCAGGGCTCTTTGTCTTGGTTCTCATCCTTTCCATCTTCTTCGCCAGCCGCCTTCGCCCAGCTAGCCGTGCCCCTCTCCTCTTCAGGCCCGATACCAACATCCAGGTCTTGATGGACCTCAAGTACAACTTGAGTGCTGAGGGCATCTCTTGTGTCACCTGCTCAGGTGAGTTCGATGGAGCCCATGAGTCACCATGGCAGGACAGGACATGAGAGTGTCAGTGACCTCCATGTTGTGTTCAGGTTGATCCATGTATTCTTCCAAGATGTTTCAACCTGATTTCTGGGCATGTTGGAAGGCAGGAGGAATCTTCTCATCCAAGGGAAATCTTTAGCTCTAGGACAGTACCCTTCCTTTCCCCTTAGGAACAGGGGTGTCCAATCTTGGCAACTTAAGACTTGTGGGCTTCAACTCCCAGAATTCCCCAGTCTTAAAGTCGCCAAAGTTAAGACAGTCCTGGTTTAGAAGGTCCCCCGTTCAGTTCACCTCTACCGGTCAGGACCCTGGACAGCTACATTTCCCCTGATAGCTGGATCAGTATAAGCCGTGGTGGCTAAGACACTGAGCTTGTTGATCAGAAAGGTCAGCAGTTTGGCGGTTCGAATCCCTAGCGCTGCATAACAGAGTGAGCTCCCATTACTTGNCTCTTTCTCTCTGTCTCTCTCTGTCCCTTTCTTTCTCTCTCTGTCTCTTTCTCTCTCACTGTCTCTTTCTCTCTCTTCTCTCTCTCTCACTGTCTCTTTCTGTCTCACCTCTCTCTGTCTCTCTCTTGTCTCTTTCTGTCTCTCTCTGTCTCTCCTCTCTGTATCTCTCTGTCTCTCCTCTGTGTGTGTGTGTTTTTCTCTCTGTCTCTCTTTCTGTCTCTTTCTGTCTCTCTTCTCTCTCTCTGTTTCTCTCTGCCTCTTTCTCTCTCTCACTGTCTCTTTCTGTCTCTCTCTCTCTTTCTTTCTGTCTCACCTCTCTCTATGTCTCTCTCTTGTCTCTTTCTGTCTCTCTCTGTCTCACCTCTCTCTCTGTCTCTCTCTCTGTCTCTCTCTGTCTCTCCTCTGTGTGTGTGTGTTTTTTTTTCTCTGTCTCTCTTTCTGTCTCTTCTCTCTCTCTCTGTCTCTCTGCTGCTCTGCTTGATGCTCTTGGCTCAAAGGAGCCATGGAAGTAGAGAAGGAGGGGAGAGAGAGACCTCCAGGAGCTGTGCAGGAACCCCCCTCCCCAGCCCATCTCCCCTGCTGCGAGGGCTTAATTGCTTCTCTCATTTAATTAACTTTCTCAGACCCTCCCTCTTCCCTCTCCTAAGGAGCAGGGCTATTTCATGCAGCTTTGGACACAGGCTGCTGACTTCCTAAAGATACCAAACGATTATCCCCCTTTTCTTTTCTCCTTTCAAATAATCAGAGTTTAGGTTTCCCTGGAGAGCTGCAGCCGAGGGCTTGTGTGGTGGATGGGCTGGGGGTGGGGGAACATGCTCCCTGGCACCGTGTGCAGTGCCATATTCTTTGCTTTTTCGGGAACGATGTGACTCCTCCCGGGGTTTGGGAGCTGTGATCTGTGGCTTAGCGTGTTGTTCTCTATTTAGCCCACCAGGGTTTCAAACCCCCGGGCTTAATTTATTACACAAATCACAGCTTTCCCTGCAAATTCAGGGCCCTCCAGATTGTAAAAACCCACCCACACGTGTCATGTGGAGCCTGTCCAACTGGTTTGGGGTATTTTTAGGTGGGAGATGCAAATCTAGCTACTTGGTTGGCTACTGAGCATTCAGCCCATTATGTTGTTGTTGTTAGTTGTTAGTTGCGCAGTCGTATCCGACCCATCGCAACCCCATGGACCACCTTCCTCCAGGCCTTCCTGTCCTCTCCCATCCTCTGGAGTCCATTGAAGCTCA